GGGCGGCGTCGCCGCCCCGAACCCAAGCATTACTGTCTATACATCCCACTGTCTACATGGGTTACAAATATTTCAAGCGGACACTGTGTGTCTAAGCACTACTACATACGTTTAATTTATTACACATAGTCGGTATGACAGATTTCCTAACCTCCATAGTCGTCAACTTTAACGCTAAATATCTCGGTTCGCGAGGCAGAGCGACACTTTTTTCTGCCAGATTCTTTCGTTTCATGCAAAAACGCGTCGAATGAGCCTAATTTTATCGAAATCGGAGGTGAGGGAGATATTCTGAATAATATATATATATATATATATTTTTTACCAGCACTACTACATACTTTTAATTTATTACACATAGACCGCGGTCCGATACACGCTCACAACGCTTAAAAATCATTTCATCCTTGTTGTTTGTCAAATGTTAAACGAAGACAAACAATGCTCATGAGCGTTGTCAGCATGATTCGGACCACGGCCATAGTCGGTATGACAGATTTGCTAACCTCCATAGTCGTCAACTTTAACGCTAAATATCTCGGTTCGCGAGGCAGAGCGACACTTTTTTCTGCCAGATTCTTTCGTTTCATGCAAAAACGCGTCGAATGAGCCTAATTTTATCGAAATCGGAGGTGAGGGAGGTATTCTGAATAATTACCGATTATTCTTCTCATATTCTACTGTGATTGATCAATTTTCTACGACTTAAAACTTTACGACTGCTACGACTTCTATTGTAGACCCCGCTTTAACATGATTTCGATTTTATACATCATTGCAAAAAGGTAAATTTTCACGAGCTGCTCTAACCGGCTGTTTCAGCGACAAAAAGGATCAGACTGGAGTCCCATGAGGTGTATTTACCGCGGATCGCATAACCGCGTAACCAATCAGAAGCGATCCGCTGTTGTGGTTTCGCGTTTTACTGATTATTGATTGGTTACGCGGTTACGCGATACGCGGTAAATACACCTTATGGGACTCCAGCCTCACGTGACAAAAAATACGTACTAAGGCCGGTATTCATAGTCAGATCTTATATTTAAGGGAGCCGTCCCATGGAGCATTTCTCAATACGTACGTATTGACGGATCGAAGCGTCGACCAATCACCGACGATCCGCCGTTTTACACGATCGAGCCGTTTAAGCGCGCGCAGCAGTGTCCTATATACGAAATTTTTTTGTTTATTAAAGAAAGTCCTTTCAAAATCATTAAAATAAAAGTAAAACATGGCAAATGTAGAAAATATACCACCCACTGTAAGTACTAGAGAGATATTATATATACATTTTGATATTAGAGGTTATATTTATATTCGAAGTAAAAAAATGTACATAACGAGAAGCCTTCCTTATTTACGATGCATTTTTTGCAGAAATGTGGACATTGTGGCTGGCTAATTACTGCCTTGCTTAAGGAAAATATCAAACAGCATAGCTGTTTTGGCTTATTTGACGAAACTACTCATGTGTTGTGCTCTGATGACAAAAACAACATATTAATGTGTAAAGTATCATGACAAGAAAATGACAATTGATTTGTTTAATTAATATAATGGAATTAGTTATATTATACACATTATTTTACAGTTGACAAGGACAAGTTTGTCAGTGCTTCAAATGACAAAGCAAAAGAATTGCAGAGTACAACGTCAAGTAAGTTGGAAAGAAAAAATTTGTGCATCTCTATTTTCCATGCATGTGCTAAATTGTAAAATCAATTCTTTCATTATTGTACAGATACAAAGGGTAAGATGACCAAAACTGCGAAGGCCAAAGGGAAACAAATCGAAAACGAATACAACGAAAAACTGATAGCTGCAATCCAAAAACGGCCACCATTGTATGATTGTCGATTGCCTCTAAAAAGTCGGAATAATCTTAAAAAGGAAGCATTGTGGAAAGAGGTTGCGAATATCGTACAAGGTATGTTACGCACGCACGTACGCACAAAGTTGTAAATTCCAAAATCCACAACTACTTAAGGCTCTGCATGGCTTATCCATCAGTAACATCATCCTCTAATCTGAAATTAATATAAAATAAAGTCAAAAGTTTGACATGAAGGCTTTTTCTAGTTTTCTTTTCAATTCTCAACCAATTTCTGGATTTTTAAAATAAATTTACGAACATAACGTATTCAAATAATGTATGGAACTGACGTATTAGAGATCATTTTGAGGATGGGAAGTTACGAATTTGACGAATCTATAGACCGGGAGACCCCTTGATTTAAATTATCAATGACTTATGCAAAATGTAATATATTTTGTACTTTTATACTGACTTTAGGAAACGATGACTATGATAGAGTGCGTAAAAGATGGACGCAATTGCGAGACGGCTATGTGAAGGCGAGGCGTAAGAAGAGGCAGTACATCCCAAGTGGATCAGCAGCTGACGAATTGGAAAATACAAAATGCTCGTTTACCTGGTTCGACCAATTGCAATTTCTTGACGACGTACTGCAGCAAGTACCGTAAGTTATAGTACTTGTATGTTAAAAAAACATGTTTTACATAAGTTATGTAGAACTTTTTGAAAACTATTTAAAAAATTATTATTGAACCACGAAATTGAAGTTGTGTATATCATTGATTAGTTTAAGGGCAGGGTATTGTTAAAAAATTTAAGTAAAAACTATTCGTATAATTAAATGTAAACAAATAATAAAATAAATAATAAGTAATAATAATAATAATAA